ATGACGTAAAAATTATGCATTTTCATCTTCATGGACAATAATATCTTCAGAGTACTTGAAAGGAGAAGATGAATTTTGGGATGTAATGTTTTCCAAGATATTGAAAATAATTCAGCACAAGGTGATGGGGAAATGAGGACTCAGGAGATGGCAAATGTTCGTAATATCATAGCGTCAAGTTTGATGCCATCTAGACGTCGTTCTTAGAGCATTGGTTTTTTTTTTTTTAAATTTTGTTTTTAGTTTTTATTTGGAATAGCAAATATTGCAATTGAATCACATTTACACTTTTAATTTATGATGACTTGTTATTGGCCTTGTTTATATGATGATAGTTTATCTACTTAATTGAGAAATATTTTTATTTTATTATTATTTATATTTTTATTATATTTAAATCACTTTAATAAATATTTAAAATACTAATTATTTCTATTTCCTATATAATTATAAGTTCAACATAAATTAAAATGATAAAATATGTTGATGTCCTTATAAGTAATTTTACAAGTTAACAGCTAACTGAAATAGCTAAGTTTACCAAACATTTTCTTACCAACCGCTAACACAATCAACTGGTCAAAACAGCTCATACAATCAGCTGGTCAAAACAGCTAATGCAATCTGCTAACAGCTGATTACCAAAGAAGGCCTATGAGTTTTGTGGTGAGGTATTATCAATTGATAGTACTTACAAAACAAATAAGAATACAATTTAATTTGTGCTCTATTTGTCGGTATAAATCATTATAAGAAAATTTTGATGTTTGGCCTTGCCTTTTTATCGTATGAGACAGAAAGTTTATTTGAGTGGTTTTTTTCGACATTTCTTGATTTTATGAGTGGAAAACAACCTCAAGCTATTGATAAAGTGTTCGCACATTCACATCAACGTTTATATTAGTGGCACATCAATCAAAATGCTCCATCCCATTTAGAAGTTTGAACGGTGATTCTTAGTTTAAGAAATTATGGCATAAATGCATGACATATTGTGATTCTGTAGATGAGTTTGAGGCCACATAGAAGCTAATGATTGAGAAGTATAGTCTTAGTGATCACAGTTGGCTAAAGCGGATGTATGTATAAACTGAGAAAGAGATGGACCACAACATTTCGTATTGACATATTTTGTGCACGTCTACCGGCAACTTAAAGAAGTGAGGCAAAAAATCCTGTTTTGAAAGATATGGGTAACAAGGCTATTACTTTGCATCATTTTGTTTTGAACTATGAAAAAGTCCAAGATAAAAGGATGGAGATAGATAATGATGATGATGCTCATTGTAGCCATGGGAGGCCGGACCAAATTGTTAAATATAATCCCTTGTTGTCGCATGCAGTTGAAGTTTATACTTTCTCAATATAAAAGTTATTCGAGCGCGAATTTTTTGAGTCTTTTAAAATTGCAATTATTGATCAGAATGATTTTGGTAATGGTTGCCTTGGATTCAAGTTGAGGACTCATACCGACAACTCAAAAAATAGGCAAATGTACTTTCATAAATATGATATTGAAGTAAAATGCTCATGTCATTTGTTTGAAACAATGGGAATACTATGTAGACATGGATAATGCTACATGTACCCCTTGGTGTACAACTTGGTGTGCATCTAAGGGGTACATGTACCCATTTACCCTTAATGAAACAATTTAGTAGATAATTCATTAAGTGTAAATAGGTACATGTACCCCTTGGATGTAAACCAAGTTGTACACTAAGGGGTACAAGTAGCATTATTTATGTAGACATGCACTAAAGGTTTGCATTTTTATGAATATCATTGTGCTGCCTGAGCTATATATCTGGTCAAGAAAAATTGAACAAGGTTTTCTAATGAATTTGAAAGAGGATATACTCCTCATGGAAATAGTGGTGTTTCTCAGTTAGCTTTTGTGAACCATGCAATGAGGACTTCTTATGACTTGGTTCATTTAAGCAACTCTTACCATGAGCGAGGAAGTAGGTTTACTGAAATCCTTGATGAAGCAAATGAAGAAATAACTTCTCTTTTGAAGGATTTGGACATGGATGGTTCACGTGATGCGTGGTTGATGAGGATAATGTCCGTGTCTGCAATCCACCTCCTGCCAAGTAAAGGGGAGTTACAAATGCTCAATAACACGTCATTGGGACGACATGAGCAAGAAAACAATGGGGCAAAGAAAAGGCGGGAAATTCAAGAAGGTCAAGAAAGAAGACTCAAGAGGTAAATGAGGTTTTTATTATTTTGTTCTATAAGACCAAAATTATTATAGTGATTACGAGTGATTATGAGTAATAATATTATTATTTACCACCAGAATTTAACATTTTTTTTAGTTATAAGATTTAGTACTTAAGACAAAAAATACGCACTTATTGACTATATAATGAGTATTGTTACACTATTGAGTCGGTATAAATATCATAAACATTAACCAATATTAAATGTTCTTCAACCAAAGTCGATACTAAATTTTAGGTTGTAGGTACTATAATACGATATACTAGGTATTGTTCTTAACCGGCAAATTGTCATGGTAAGACTGTAATTTTAATTTTCAGTAGTGTCACCACTTGGTGGAGTCCACACTTAAAAAAAAAAAAAAGAAAGAAATGCTTCACCGACAAACAAGAAACGAAGGCCGTAGGATTTTTAAAATTATCTTATTTTTCTCTTGGCGCCAACTCCTAGGCTCAGATGGTGGCTTACGCCGTGATGTGCAAAGATTGGCCGCATAATGGGACTTGCCCTTACTCCTCACCTTGCTTTGCACCTCTCGGTTAGCAAAAAGGGCGATCGGCCGGGACCTATTCTCTTAATAGGCAACAAAGCTGAAATAGATACAGATCGACACAAGTTATGTGGGAAGGCATTATTGGGACAAAGAAAATTGAAAGTCTATTCATTATTAGATAATAAAAATTTTCAAAAAGATGTTAGATATGATCTTTTAACATCTAAATTTTTATAGGATATTTTTATTAAAATTAAGCATCTCATCGAAAACTTACAGCAGCTTGCCAAACAAAGCCTTTTTTTAACTCAAGCGATAGA